CTAAACCCCCTTTTAAAGATTTTATTTCTTCCCAGTCATCACCTGTGACAATTATGTCGTCAACATAAACAATGAGGATAGAAATTTTGCCACTATCGGAGTGTTTAAAAAATAAAGTGTGATCAGTCTGAGCTTGGATAAATCCTCTTTCTTTAACAACACGAGTAAACTTTTCAAACCACTCTCTAGGGGATTGTTTAAGTCCATAAAGAGATTTCTTCAACATGCATACAGAACCATCTCCCTGTTCAAAACCAGGTGGTGGATCCATGTAAACTTCCTCATGTAAGTCCCCATTTAAGAAAGCGTTCTTTACGTCCAATTGATGCAAGGGCCAATCAAGGTTGGCAGCAAGTGATAGTAAGACTCGGATAGAGTTAAGTTTGGCAACGGGAGCGAACGTCTCCTGATAGTCTATCCCATAAGTCTGAGTAAATTCTTTGGCAACCAATCTGGCCTTATATTTGTTGATGCTGTTATCTGCATTAAATTTTATTGTGAACACCCATTTGCAACCTACAGTTTTCTTTCCTCTGGGAAGTGCCACGGACTCCCAAGTTCCATTTTTTTTAAGAGCATCCATTTCTTCAAAGACTGCATCCCTCCATTTAGGGTCATTAAGTGCCTCTTGGATATTTTTTGGTATTTTTGTACCGTCTAATATAGTGTTGAAAGCACGAAAACCTGGAGATAACTTTTCATATGAAATGTGATAAGAAATAGGATGAGCAGTGCAAGATCTAGTACCTTTTCGAAGGGCAATGGGCACATCTAGGTCAGCTGTACCAGTGTTCTCAAGTGGATTGCTGGAACTAGGACTCGGGTCAGAATCCTGGCAGTCTAGAGGATCTTGAGGAGATTTTCGCCTGCTGTAGAATTTTCCCCATTTACCGGGAGGATCTCCAGTCTCTGGTACAATCGCTGTCCTTGTCTCCTGTACATTAACTCCCCCTGACTCCAAAGGTAAACAAACAACAGATGTTTCCAAGGGTAAAGGTAAGACAGTAGAATTATTTGGATTCCAAGACTTGTCTTCATTTATACCAATAGACTCCCCCTGAAGAGAAGTCAAGGGAAAAAATGATTGTGTTTCACAAAAAATAACATCCATAGAAACAAAGACCTTTCGAAGAGAAGGTGAGTAGCACTTGTAACCTTTTTGATTAGGAGGATATCCTATGAAGACACATTTAACAGACTTATGATCAAGTTTGGACCTTTGATGTGGAGGAATATGAACAAAAACCACGCAGCCAAACAACTTTGGAGGAAGGGAAGAGAGAGCCCGAAAGGAGGGAAAAGAGCGGGTAAGGCAAGATATGGGAGAACGAAAATTCAGGATGCGAGAGGGCATCCGATTGATGAGATATGAGGCAGTCAAGACAGCCTCCCCCACAGGTATTTAGGGACATGCATTGTAGACAAGAGGGCTCTAGCAACTTCAATGAGATGTCTATTTTTCCTTTCAGCCACCCCATTTTGTTGAGGGGTGTTAGGACAAGAACTTTGATGGATAGTACCTTGCTTGGTTAGGTAATCACCAAGAACAGAATTAAAATATTCAGTACCGTTGTCAGTTCGCAGGATTTGGATAGAGGTCTGGAATTGAGTTTGTACCATAGCATGAAAATTTTTAAAAGTGGCTGCAGCTTCAGACTTATCTTTTAGAAGATATACCCAGCATACTCTAGAATGATCATCAATAAAGGTAATAAACCAACGAGTTCCAGATATATTTTTTTCACGAGCTGGGCCCCAAATATCACTATGAATCAATGTAAATGGAGACGAAACATGATAATCTCTAGGGAAATAAGAAACACGAGAGTGTTTTGCAAACTGACAATCATCACAAAAAAAGGAACTTGGTTTTTTGTTGATAAATAAGTTTGGAAGCAGCTTTTGAAGATAAAAGAAATTTGGGTGTCCTAAACGACGATGCCAAAACAAAACATCATTACAATCGTCTGATAAACATAAAGAGTGATTTGCAAAAAATCTCTTTTCATGAGAATCTTCTTCAAAATAGTAAAGCCCTTCTTCCTCTCTAGCACTGCCAATCATCAGCCCCGAATCCTGTTCTTGAAAAACACAGGTTTTGGCAGAGAATTTAGCAACACAATGCAATTCAGAGGAAAGTTTACTAATAGAGATAAGGTTACAAGTAAGAGAAGGGACATGAAGGACAGAATTCAGAGTAATATGTTCAGAGAGCTTAATGGATCCCTTTCCCGCAATATTAGAGAAACTACCATCAGCGTCCTTATTTGTGACTGGTGATAATAAGGGGTATAAGAACAAAACAGGGATGCATTACCTGTCATATGATCAGAAGCTCCCGAATCAAGAATCCAACGACTACTATGATCAACATGGAATGCCATACCTTGTTGAGCAACATGACTAGTTGCCTCAGCAGATTGAGACATCACCTTCTGAAATTGCTCATAATTCTTACCGTTTAAACGGTGGTTAGTAATCTGTATAGCTGGGTTGTCTCCGGAAGACGAAGAACAGGGAAGAGGAAAGACACCGGAAACATTACCGGATGATTTTTCAGAATGCTTATTCTCAGCCTCAATATTTTCAACTTCCATTGTTCAAAATAAAAAAAAATATAAAAAAAACAAAAAAGGAACTCCAATCGTTCAGAACTGAAAAATCACGAAGAGGAACCAACTGGACCCAACAAGAAGAGTGCTCCAATCGTGATTTAAACCCCCAGAACAGGAAGAGGAAGGCCAGGCGAGTCGTTCTGTGAAAGCCGCGTGACAAACGGAGGCCGGCAGGGCGGCGCGTGGCTCACACGCGCCAGAGAGGCAGTTCTGCAGTGGCGGCGCGTGGAGGCGCGTGGCTGACTTTCCGGCGACGGGGCTGACGTGGGTCGACTCGGAAATGGCTTCTGAGTCCAATGGTGGCCTTGGTTTCGTGATTGGAGGGGTCCAGATATGGTTTCTGAGTTATTTTAATAAACAGTGAAAAATGGAAAACGGAAGGAAACGTGAAGGTTTACAAGATGACCACAGGATAACCTGCTCTTGATACCATGATGAAATATAAGACTGAAATGTATTTTTCATATATTGATTGACACCCAAAGGGATCTTTATATACAGATTACAAGGTAGTTAAGGAGTTGAAGTAATAAATAAAATACACAGTAACCGAAGAGGCATCACACTACTCAAAGGAACAAGTAGCTAGAAACAAGTAGAAAACTCTAGAATATTCTACAGTTTCTCTCTCTAATTTGTTCAGAAGTCAGGTCTCATCTACATCTACATCTTCATCTAGTCCTAATTACCCCATCTCAAGAGATGTATCCTGGCAATTCAGCATCTACCCTAGCCATTAACCATTTTGAGAGTCATCTTTCTGTGCTCCTCTTCTAGATTCTCAGCCTCCTAACTCCCTAAAGTTATCTAATTCCACTCATTGTTCACCTCAAGATTTTGATTCTCCTATTGCCACTAATGTCCACTGCTGGTATTGCATCCCCCACTACAAAATCTTCTCCAATTTCCTCGACCACTCCATCTTCCTCCCAATCAAAGTATATTCCTTCTAATAATATTAGTACACCCTCACCTACACATTCCATAACAATCAGGTCCAAGGTTGCAGCTAGAAACTTGGCCTTACACATGTTGAGCCTTCCATAGTAAAACAAGCATCTCCGGGTCCTCATTGTTTCAAGGCTATGCAATTAGAGTTTAATGCCTTACAAACTAAAAAAAACCTGGACTCTTGTTTCTTTAACTCATGGCAGGCAAGTTATAGGCTGCAAGTGGGTCTTCAAAGTCATGGAAAACCCAGATGGCAGTATAAATAAGTATAAGGCTAGGTTGGTGGCCAAATGCTTCCACCAAAGGGCTGACTTTGATTACAATGAATCATTTTCCCCTATGGTAAAACCTATTAGAGTTCAGTTCATGCCAACTATTACCCTTACATTTGGCCTTCCTCAATGGAGATTTGGAGGAACAAGTCTATATGCAACAACCCTCTAGTTTGGAGGTTTCAAAAGTCTCTTCATGGGCTGAAGCAAGCCCCAAGGGCAGGCATTGAGGTTAAGAAAAGATCTCCTATTACTATGTTTCTTACTCAATCCAAGTACATCTAATGGTAAACTTGGATTACAAGGGCAGAGATGCATGATGTCAAAGACTCAAAGCTATCTCCCCTCCTATGGTTTCTAATGATAAACTTTCCAGATTTGAATACAGTAAAATGTAAAAGAATATGTTGTGTATTGATCTGTGTCAGAGAGTTACAATATATAGAGACCCTAATGGGCTTAAGTGAAAGGGCCAAACCTAATCCTAATACAATCAGAATATTTACGGATAAGACGGAATCCAATCATATCTAATCATATCATATCTAATATTCTAACACTCCCCCTCAAGCTGGTGCGTATATATTATGAGCACCAAGCTTGTTACAAATGTATTCAACCCGAGGACCTCTAAACGCTTTAGTGAAAACATCTGCTAGTTGATTAGATGAGTTGACAAAAGTTGTCTTGATTTCTCCTGACTGAATCTTTTCCCGAATGAAGTGACAATCAATCTCTATATGTTTGGTCCTCTCATGAAAAACAGGATTAGAGGATATATGTAGCGCAGCTTGATTATCACAGATGAGTGTCATGGGTTGTTTCTGTTCACAAAGATGAAGCTCCTGAATCAACTGCTTTAACCAGATCAACTCACAGGTAGTATTTGCCATTGCACGATACTCAGCTTCTGCACTAGATCGGCAAACAACAGGTTGTTTCTTGCTTTTCCATGAGATTAAGTTTCCTCCGAAGAAGACACAATAACCAGAAGTAGAGCGTCTGTCCGAGGGTGATCCTGCCCAATCGGCATCTGAGTAACCACAAATTTTTGTATTTCCCTGATCCGAATAAAACAAACCTTTTCCTGGTGCTCCTTTGATGTATCGGAGGATCCTCACAGCAGCATCCCAATGTGAATCACAAGGGGAATCAAGGAACTGACTAGCCGTACTGACAGCGAAAGAAATATCTGGCCTAGTCACAGTAAGATAATTGAGCTTCCCAATCAGCCTTCGATAACGTCCAGTATAAGATAACGGCTCCCCTTGTCTGGGCAATAACTTAACATTACGATCCATGGGTGTATCAACTGGTTTACACCCCAACATACCAGTCTCTTCTAGGATATCCAAGGCATACTTCCTTTGACAGATAGAAATGCCCTGTCTAGATTGCGTCACCTCAATTCCCAAGAAGTAACGCAGCTTCCCAAGATCCTTTGTTTGAAATGCACTGAATAAATGTTGTTTTAACTGACGGATTCCGTCTTGATCACTTCTGGTGATGATGATGTCATCAACATAGACTAACAAATAGATGCACTTGTTAGGAGATGTAATCCTATAGAATACAGAATGGTCAACTTTACTGTGAATTAGGCCAAACGCATGTACAGCAGAACTGAAGCGACTGAACTATGCTCGAGGAGACTGCTTGAGACCATATAAGAATTTTTGAAGACGACATACCTTCCTAGACTCCCCCTGAGCATCAAAACCAGGTGGTTGCTCCATGTAAACTTCTTCTTGTAAATCACCATGAAGAAAGGCATTTTTGATGTCAAGTTGAAGGAGTGGCCAGTGACGAACAGCAGCAAGGGCAAGAAATAGGCAGACGGACGCCATCTTAGCGACTGGAGAGAATGTATCGCTATAATCAAGACCAAAGATTTGAGTAAAACCCTTGGCAACTAGGCGTGCCTTGAGACGATCAACATGGCCATCAGGTCCAACTTTCACAGTAAACACCCAGCGACAACCAACTATAGACTTCTCTGGAGGAGCAGAAACAAGGTCCCAAGTGCCATTGGTATGAAGTGCGGTCATCCCATCAAGCATCGCTTGACGCCATCCTGGATGGCAAAGTGCTTCACCTGTGGTCTTAGGAATAGAAACAGAAGAAAGACTAGAAACAAAGGTGAAATGAGAAGGAGAAAGACGATCATAGCTCAAGAAGGTATAAAGAGGATAAGGGTTACGAGTAGTACGTGTACCTTTTCTTTGAGCAATGGGAAGAGCCTCTGGTGAAGGATCCGGAGGGGAAGAATCAACTGCAGGGGACAATGAGTCAGCAGGGGTCGAGTCGACTGGAGGTACTGGGTTACGACGCTGATAAGTGAGAAGTGGACGATTCTCAGGTACTGGAGCAATAGGTGATTGCTTATCTGGAGAAGAAGCACCTGCATCTGGCAAAGACAAGTCAAGAAAAGGAACAGGAACAACATGATCAACCTGTGACAATGGAGATGGGATAGAATTAAAGGGTTGTTGATCAAGAAAGGTGACATCAGCGGAAACTAAGTAACGCTTGAGATCAGGAGAGTAACGCTTGAGATCTGGGAAGGTATGTCGTCTTCTCCCAATCAGACTTGTCCTCCTTAGGGACATCAGTAGACTTAGTCGTGAGATGGTTCCCATATCCTTGCCCAAAGAACCAAACTCGAACAGAGGTGGCCCAGTTCTTGTAATTAACAGATCCCTTCAATTTTGAAGAGGTAATGGACCCAATATTGGTAGAGATGATATTAGGAGAATTTCTCACACGAGGAGATGGAGAATTGACCTCCGAATGAATTGGAGAGTTTGCTGCCATAGTATTAAATCACAAAGATATAAACCGAATAAAGAGAAACGAACCTGATCACCAATCAAGAAGAGGTGCGCACAAAAAGTCAGACCCACAAAGAACCAACCACAGATCCAGAAAGAGGAGGAGAAGACGATCGGCCGGAAAAAGCCGCCGGAATAGTGCTCACGCGCCGGCAGAAGGTGGCGCGTGAAGCCCACGCGCAGAGAAGAAAGGAGGCGCGTGAGAGCGCGTGACAACTCCGATGGTGGCCGGACTTCCACAGAGCAGGTCGCCGGGAGGAGAGGATGTTGTTCGCGTTCGTTCCAGACTGAAATCTCGCCGGAAAAGTACTCCGGCAGCCTGAACAGTGGCTGATGGTGGCTCCGGTGACTGTTTGGGGATGTGGACACGTGCAGAAGATGCCTGGAGAGGACTTACAGTCCTTGATGGCTTGCCGGAAGGACGCACGGCGAAGAAAAGATGACTCCTAAGCAGTGGGCTTAGGTTTTAAAGCGAAGAACAAGATTTCTAAGCGGAAACGAGGGTTCCCAGAACGAAATAGCTCTGGTACCAAGTAAAATGTAAAAGAATATGTTGTGTATTGATCTGTGTCAGAGAGTTACAATATATAGGGACCCTAATGGGCTTAAGTGAAAGGCCCAAACCTAATCCTAATACAATCAGAATATTTACGGATAAGACGGAATCCAATCATATCTAATCATATCTAATCATATCATATCTAATATTCTAACAAATACAATTACTTCTCTAACCCACACCTCTACAAAGCAATAGTAGGTGCTCTGCAATATGCTTCTAAGATCAAACCAAAGATCAGTTTTGCAATGAATAATGTTTTTCAATTCATCAGCGAGCCCTTGGAGGATCATCGAAAGGAAATAAAGTGGATAGAGGTATCTTGGTGGCACCTTCGGTCTTTATCTCCGGTCTGCCGATCCTCAAAGCCCATTCTCTCCTACAACATTTTGTGGTGCTGAGTAGACTAATGACCCAGATAACAGAAGATTTACCTCTAGAGCTTGTCTTTATCTTGGTTCAAATTTAGTTTCTTGGTGAGGCGGAATATAAAAGCTTTGCTCTTACATGAGCAGAAATTCTGGATAAAATCTCTTCTCCGTGGTTTTATGTGATAACTTGAGTACCATAGCCTTTTCCCATAATCCCATGCTTCATGCCAAGACTAAGCACTTGTTAGGGAACAGGTTCTGGCCAAATAAGTCTGTCTCTCATGTTCCAGCTCTAGACTATAATATTGATATTCTCACCAAGACACTCTCCCCAGTCTGTTTTGCCAAATTAAGACACAAACCCAGGGTCTTGGACTCTGCATTGCAGTCTCCATCTCATTGAGTTTGACGGTAAGTGAGAGTGTAACTTTACTATTGTTGTAATCTTACCTTTTTGTCCTTACTGTTTAGTGATGTACAGCTAAGCATCTCTCCTTAGTAGTTAAAATATGTAACTAAATCAGTTTAGTTCGGTTTAATAGTTGGTTAGGATGACTCTATGCTGAATCATCAACACAGAGCATGTCTCGAATACTTTTAACTTTCTCTTTCTCTATTTTACATGCAATACACAAGAGTTCTCAAGATCATTTCTCTCTCTTCTCTTCTCTGATTTTCTTTTGTCCTACATGGAATTTTCACTGATTTCTGATAGATAAAATTCTTTAGATGATTATGTTGTTGTTCTCCAATAAAAGCAAAAAATGTATATTAATGTTTTACAAACTCAATCTATGAACGAAATAACTTTACCTAAATTCTTTCCTTAATTTTGACACCATTTTAGAGTTAGTTTAGTTATAATTTTTTTCTTATTAATAAGGAAATTTTGTGTAGTTTACATAGTAAAGGAAAAGGGCATAGAAAATAACAAAAAAGAGGACGAGGCTAGGGGATCCATAGTTCAATGCAATTGCTTTTCACAATTTCTTTAAACAGAAATTTTCTCACATAATGTCCTTTGCATGAATGAGGAAACAATCTAAACAATGCACAACTTCGTTGATGGATTCTACATCAATGTAATAATAGTTTCACAGCCGAGGATACTCTCCCAATATTCTATACAGGAATTCCAACCTGGTGGTGCATAATGATCACTCTATATGATGTACAGAATCATGTGTTAGTATGGTCCTGTTAGGAAATGCAAGAACTATGACTAACCACAAAGCATTACCATTGTTAATTATAGACAAAAAATTTACATTTTCCTCATTCAGCACATGATTGTTAGTATTTTTACAATCATAACCACACACAGATAGAGCATATTTTGCAAAAATTGCTGGAGTATTTACTTTTTCAACTGTCACTGGTGTCCCCAAATATTTCAATTTTCTTTACATTTATTTATGGTAAGTCCATCAATACATTTGTCAGAATATTTTATGATAAAGATGATACAGCCTAAGTGAATTTATTCCAAAATGCTTTCAGAGAAAGCATCTAGTATTATAGTGGCTAAACTGTGTTTGCATTTTGAAAACAAAGAAAACAACTAACAAACATAATAAGTGGGGGGAAAAAATAATGAGAACATACCGTGGCTATGTTCTTCTCAAAAGAAGAAATATTAGATTTAATTGTAGCAAATTGATCCGCATCAAAAGATTTTCTATGTGCATAAATAATCTGTATTTAAGCAGCACCAGAAGCATGAATCAGTTTAACAAATTAAGAAAAAATTGAGACACGAACCACCAAAAGAAAGCAATAGTATTACCTGCTGAAAAAGAGAGCGAGCAGCAGATAAAAGAAAATTAGGCAGATGTTCCCCAGGATGAGAGCAATGCCACAAATTGGACAAGGTAACTCTACACTTGAGACATTGCACCCAAAAATCCTTGATGGCATGTGTGCTTTGCCTGAACATATGATACAAAGAGAAATGTGACATTCAGTAACAAGATGCAATGCTGTATTTGCCAATCTCCTGACTTAATTATTCATGAATTTCCTCAACACCGCAAGTAACAGAAATGCTGATCATATGGCAATGGTCATTTTGAACTTATATGGCTAAAAAGACACTTCATGAGTATAAGTTTGGAAACATTGATATATTAAGTTATATTGTGATAATCATGTGGCTTTACATATAGCATCAAAACCAGTCTATCATAAGTGACCAAGCATATTAGAAATTGATTGTCAGTTTGTCCAAGAACATTCCTAAGGAAATCACTATTGAGTTTGTCAAGGTGATCAACTAGGTTGCTATTCTTAGAAAGTCTCTTCGATGTCCTCAAATCCAATTTATCTATAACATGTTTGATGCACATAATTTTGTATATTCCGACTGAGAGGAAGTGCTAGATATCATTGTAACTAACGTAAAATATTATACTACAGTACATTAGTCATTATATCAGGAAAATAATTATTTAATTAGGTCTATATATTAACGGTATTACTAAGAACTTATTAGGTGGTCAAAGGAGGCACAAAAATAGGAGAGATCTCCATAATGAGCTAAGTGACAAATGGCAATGTGATTAATACCACATCTTAAACTAAAACCTTAAGGCAATAAATCTACAAGTCTTTTATTTATTTTTTCCTCAATGCACACATTCTTAACCGATGTGCAACTCCATCACTCATCTTTGAATTGCTAATACAAGAATCCCAACTTTAGTATGTCCCACAAGCAGAAGCTTTTTCAAATATTCATGGGGTTACCAACCAAAAGACAAGTCTTGGACAACGTGCTCCACAACATGGATTAGACACAAACTCAAACACCAACCATAAGATAAATAACAAAAAAACTAGATAATGAATAAAATAAACTCACGTGATCTGCAACACAGTTGATGCACCGATAGGCTGAATAAGCATGTGGGGTAGTGCAATACTAATATCATCAAATTCGTCAATCTTTGAGAAATTCTGAGTAACAATAAATATTATAAATGGGTCAAAAAGCATACAAATAGGAATAACTAAATATAAAAGTCATTGTGCGGTCACACATACCTTAACAAATTCAGGTGAACACACCCACAAAGATTCATGCCAGTTGAACCACATCTCCAGAATAAAGCTTGCAACTTTCATATTCACTATAATAAACCCCCCCCCCCCCCCCCCCAAAAAAAAAAAAAAAAAAAAAACTTATGTGAGCCCAATCACAAAGAAAAAGAAAAAAAAAATAAGATGACATATGCAGAGCTCTAAACCAACCTGCATCCACTAAAGTCCATGCATTCATGGTCCATAAGATCTTTTGATGGGGCGAAAACATTTGTGCAGGTCTTGATGAGAAACTCAACGAAAATTTCAAAGCACAGTCCAAAAAGGTGGAAAGACGTTTCACAGCCTGTTGTTAGAGAAGCAAGGAAAATTATGTTTAAAATGCAGTATACATGCAGACTATTTGCAGCATAACACACAAAATATTATGAATAAACCATTCAGAGAGGCGTAGTATACTTTATAAACAAGAGTTAAACATCAATAACTATAGTATAATGCAGTATATTATTAAAAAATATAAAAACCATTCATGAGAGGCAAGCTTGATTAAATAACACAAAATAAGCAGTGGAGCCCAACAGAAATCTGCAAATAAATAGCAAATTGTTGTTAATATTACATGGTGTAACCCTTCGGGATTGTCCAAAGGAATTGATGTGAGCTCCTGTAGTAACTGCATGTCCAAGAATAAACTGGTATTATCAACTGGAGGCAACGTATCCTGCCAGGCCTCGAAAACAGATTTTTGGCACAACATTTCAGGTGTAGACAAACAACAAGCAGCGGAACTTTCATCAAAAGCTGAAAGGCCTTCAGATCCTGTTTTCATCTGGAGCTTGTTTTTCTCATATCCAAACCTTCTTAACAACATCTGTAGAGAAAATTGATTAACAGATCAATGAGGAATGCACATTCTTATAAATTTCAATGATGTCACAAACAACACAAACCTGATATGTCTCCTCCAACTTCTTAACAATATTAATATCATCATCCTCTGGACCCCGTTTTGCTATTATAAATGATGAGATACTGACATCTGCATGGTTATAGAATATACAACGAAATATTATGCATTCACATATAATCCAGATGAACAATAAATCAAAAGTAAATAAAACTGGCATGCGCCAGCAAACATGGCTAAAACCAGAAACATTCATGCTACATATTTAAAGTACCCTCCTGATTCTATATTCTGCAGATTTTCATTGTAAAGCATATAAAGGAAAAATAAAAATCTAGCAGCTTCAAGTCTTTTATGCCAAGAAAAGAATAACTAGTAAAAAATAAATTTAACCTAGAGTGAACAGCCATAAAGTACATTAACTGTAGTACAGAAATACAAAAAAGAAAAACATAAACTGAAGTTTTCGAAACTTCATCGGTTTAGAGCAAGGGCAAAATTTTCGGTGCATGGTTATGTTTTTCAGGAACAGGAATCGGGGAGGATAATTGGCAGTGATAAAGAAGGAGGACTCTACATTTTTTAGGGATCTGATCATGTGGAGAATCAAGCTACTTTTGTTGAAAATGATCATTTTTTTTTTTCCAATTGTGGGGATAATGTAATGTTGTGGCACCATAAGTTAGGGCACCCAAATTTCAATTATCTTCAAAAGCTTTTACCGAATCTCTTTACCAATAACAAACCCAAAGTCTTTTCTTGTGACATATGTCAATTAGCAAAACACTCTCGTGTATCATATCCCATGAGGAAGTATAAAGAATCCTCCCCATTTACTCTTGTTCACAGTGATATATGGGGTCCATCTCGTCTAAAGAAAATTTCTGGCTCGCGATGGTTTGTAACATTCATTGATGACCGTTCTCGAGTGTGTTGTGTTTATCTTGTCAAAGAAAAGTCTAATATTGTCCAAGTTTTCAAAAAAATTCATGCCATGGTTCAAAACCAATTTGGCACCTCCATAAAAATTCTTCGGACAGACAATGGCAAAGAGTATTTCAATCTATCCTTGGTGAATACTTGTCTTATCATGGCATCCTTCGTCAGAGATCATGTCTTAAGGTTAAGAATGTGTGCAGAAATAAAAAATAGGCACATTCTTGATGTTGCTCGTGCTCTTATATTCACCAAGAATGTCCCTAAATATTTGTGGGGGAAAACCGTTCTAACTGCCACCTACCTCATCAACCGAATGCCTTCCCGTGTCCTTCAGTTTCTTTCTTCGTTGTCATGTCTTTTAAAGAACTATCCATCTCTTAGTTCTATGTCCTCACTTCCTCCAACATTGTTCGGGTTTGTTGTATTTGTCCATGTTCCATCACACCAACGATCCAAACTTGATCCTAAATCTCACAAGTGTGTCTTCATTGGATAATCTCCTACTCAAAAGGGATATAAACGTTATTCCCCATCTGTACGAAAGATTTTTGTCTCCATAGATGTCACTTTCTTTGAGAGTTAATCTTTCTTTTCTCAGCTTTCTTTTCAGGTGGAGCTTCTAGATGAAGATCAGTCTTAGGAACCCTCAGTGTTACCTTTTGCCTTATCCATCCCTTTATCACAGAACTCAACACAATTAGAAACAGAGGGAGATGATCAGTTGGAAAAAGGTAGAGACAATAATCAGCAAAAACAATTGCTGGTTTATAGTCGGAGACGGCCTCCTCAAAATGTAAATAATCTAGACTCTTTGCACTACCAGGATTCCACTTCGACTTTTAGTTCCAACAATCTGAATCCAACCCAACATGCCTATGAGAATTTCAATTTGCCAATTGCTATTAGGAAAGGAACCAATTCTTGTACTTCACATCCCATCTCTCAATATGTCTCTTACGACACATTATCTCCAGGTTTTCGTACATTCAACACAGTCTTGGATAGTATGAAGATTCCCAAAATATCCAAGAAGCCCTTAATGATCCAAATTGGAAGTTGGTTGTCATTGAAGAAATAGATGCTTTGGAAAGAAATAACACATGGGATATTGTGGAATTATCAAGAGGAAAGCAACCAGTGGGTCGCAAGTGGGTATACACCATCAAATTCAATGCAAATGGCAGCATCAATAAATATAAGGCCAAACTAGATGCAAAGGAATACACTCACGTATGGGATAGATTAGCAAGAAACATTTACTCTTGTTGCCAAACTCAACACTATTAGAGTTCTTCTATCCTTTGCTGCTAATCTTGACTGGCCCTTACAACAGTTGGATGTGATGAATGCTTTTTGAATGGTGATCTACATGAAGAAGTATATATGGATCCTCCACCTGGTTTCGAAAAAGGAGCCGACTTGGTGTGCAAGTTAAAGAAGTCTCTCTATGGACTCAAACAGTCTCAAACTGATCTACACTCTTCCACAAACACTCTAAGGATGGTAAAGTTGTCATTCTTATAGTCTATGTGGATGACATAATTATTACTGGTGATGACCATGAGGAGTTAGATTCCTTAATGGAGTATTTAGCAGGTCAGTTTGAACTGAAGGATCCTGGAGTCCGAAGGTATTTCCAGAGCAAGACAGGGATCACAATCTTAGATTTGCTTCAGGAGACAAGTATACTAGGATGCAAGCCAGCTGAAACACCTATGGAACCCAACATTAAGTTGGGAATTGAACATGAGAAAGAGGTGTACAAGAAGCGGTATAAGAGATTGGGTGAAAGTTTGATCTACTTGTCCCATACTCGACCTTACATTGCTTTTGCAAAAAGTATGGTTAGCCAATTTATGCATTCACCCAAAGAGAAACATCTTGGTGTAGTTTATAGAAGATCTACTTGTCCCATACTCAACCTTACATTGCTTTTGCAATGAGTATGGTTAGCCAATTTATGCATTCACCCAAAGAGAAACATCTTGGTGTAGTTTATAGAATCCTAAGGTATCTCAAGAGTACGCCGGGAAAGAGATTGTTCTTCAAAAAGGGGTATAATAGGATGATTGAAGTCTACACTGAAGCGGATTGGGCAGGTTCATCGGTAGACAGAAACTCAACCTCAACCCATTTCACCTATGTGTGGGGAAATTCCGAGCACTAAACTTGGAGAAGCAAAAAGCAAACAGTGGTTGCAAGGAGTATTGCTGAGGCGAAATTCTGAGCACTAGCTCATGGAGTTTGTAAGCAAAGTTATCAAATGCGGATTACAGTATGTCGCGGCCAACCCCGAAAAACGCTATAGCGGGTTGCGGTTGCGGAAAAGATATATGACATAAATAATGACAAAAAGAAACACTTTTTAAAGGCAGATATACCAAAAGTGACAAAGAGATGTAGATAGACTAAAAAACCCTTAAAAAAAATTTGTACACATTTAAATTTAGGACAAAATTAACATTTTGTCTTGTGACAATAATATGGTAGTGATTTGGTCGCAGATGTGACCGCGATGGCCGCTATTGCGTTCCGGTTCGGCGCGATGCGGTTTCTCGCGGCGTTATTGCGGCGCAATTAACTACTATGTTTGTGAGGGAGTTTTCTTATGAGCTAGTGCTCGGAATTCCGGTTAAGAAGCTCTTAGGTGAACTAAAGATCTCTTATTCCTTACCATTAAGGTTGTATTGTGATAACAAAGTAGCAGTCAGTATTGCTCAAAATCCTATTCTTCATGACGGAACAAAGCATGTGGAGGTTGATCGTCACTTCATCAAGGAAATATTGGATGATGGGAGTGTGTGTATGTCATATATCCCTACCAAAGAGCAAACTGCAGACATTCTTACTAAGAGTCTACACAGATCAATTTTTGATAACTTAATAGACAAGTTGGGAATAAAACCACTCCCCGTTAAACCCGACTAGCGAGTGTGGGGTGGAGGTAATCCTTGTACGCAGCCTTACCCATGCATAATTGCAAAGAGGTTGTTTCCTGAATTCGAACCCATGACCTTTCAGTCATGAAAGAACAGCTTTACCACTGCTCCGGGTCGCCCTCTTGATCAATATTGGGAATGATCAATATTTATCTCCCAACTTGAGGAGGAGTGTGGGAATTTCTTGTGACTTAGTATAATGGTCCTTAGCCCATGTAGCTTTTGTTGTTTCCTTTTTTACCTTTTTTGTTGAATATATGAATAAAACATTCAGTTCTAACAGGTAGAAATTAAAAACCATCTGTTTGTCTAATGTCTTATTCCAAAGACTAGAATCTATGTGTAACGTTGACTTTCAGATGTGTAGTGTGCACTACATCATTCCAAAGAAATATTTAAACATTCATAAATATGAAAAAGAAAAGGGATAACTCATGATACGAACATATAACCACAGACCACAAGAAAATTACTAGAACATAAAGAAATTTATTTGACAACATAAATCCAATGAAAATTGCCTTAGATATTATCATGTCATCTTTAAACTAAGAGAGGTTATAAGCCACAGGAAATTGCTCAGTGATCATTCTATCACTCTAAGATTCAAATTCGGTGTAATCCTAATTACCCGGCTAAAATGATACAAGGGAAAAGGTTGCAAATATTAGAATTCAGTGAGAAACTCATGGAAAGTGAGGGAAAATAGGAGAAAAGATGTAGAATAAGATTCTGGAACATTTAGCTCCGCAATGAGTCAGCTAAATTATCTAATAAAACTACTAAACTGAAATCAGTTACTCATCCTAACCACTAATGAGTAAAACTCTACTGTACACAGGATTACAGTAAAACAATACAGTAATACACCACTAAACATTAAGGGCAGAAAAATAAAGTTACATTAATAGCAAACAATATACCTTGCATTGCGAAGAAGCGAAGATCAGGATCAAATGATGCAACAACATCAACAAGATGGCTGCTCAAAACTCCTGGATATTTTCAAGGAAAAATCGAATATGAACAGCAGTACAAAATGTAGGAGGAATTACAATAATTAAGTATTGGCAAAAAATATTTCCATCTTATGAACAATTGACCACTTAACTGGTTAATGATGTTCAATGGGTGGTTACTTATAACCAGTTATTGAATTAATTAACCACTGAAGTGGTTAAATGTTCCAAAGCTAGGGATATGTTAACCAAGAAATCCTTTTTCAATTTTTTTCTTGAAATAACAACAAAAAGAAATTCAGAGTAGTAAACCTTGATTATTGGATGCTGTCTTTCTTGGCCAAAGCGTTTCAACAAATTGTAAAAGCTGATGTTGTTTATCATGTAAGTCAGAGGAGCATGGCAAAAATGGGTGACCACCATGAATCCACAGCAAGGATTTTTCCGAAGAAGACGTCCCCTCCAACTTTTTGCTCTCCATCTATTTAAGGGAAAAAATTAGTTAACTTTCTGAAAATAACGGAAATATATAAAATATTATGCCTGGCTTACCAGAAACTCATCTACAGCCTCTGGACAGATATCCATAAACTTTCCAACATCTTTCACCAAAGAATGCCACGAAATTATCATCTGATCAAGCTTTGAAGAAATGAACTGACGCCAAAATAAAACATGATGCTCAATAAGGTCAGTGTATAACTCTATTTTATGATCAAATGCCGGATCCTCAATTAGCTTAGGACTTGAAGCAACAAGTTTATTAAGGAATTTGTCTTCCAATACATGAAGAGACTTCAAAAGTGGAATAAAGCAACAGGCCTCATCACTAAAAATATATTGGCTCTCAGTATTCCACTGCTGGTAAGTTAACCTTAGCGGATCAAAGCACCGAATAGCATTACAGAGATTTGTAATGTTTCTATTTGATGCATCCAAATAAACTAAATCAAGTGATAACAGTGGCATTAACTGCAAATCAACATCTAGGTTTCCACGGCATGAAATATATTCCCATATAGGATGCTTGATCATCTGTTCTATCAGCATGAGAAAGTTATTAAAAAACTGACAGAAGGGTTGCAATTGTGAACTAAACCAACTTAACCTGAGAATATAGAACTTAAAATCACTTTCCATTGCTTGTTCCATGGTCCAGTTCGCTGCAAAAGATAGCATCTTATAAGTCAATTCCGAGTCGAATTCACTTTCCCTTTCAGAGTCCAAAATCAACACATTTGTAGCCTTAGGAAACATAATTTCATGCAAAGTCCTCATATCCATCAAATATGCCTTCACATTATCACCAGCAGTTTGCAAACAAGCTGTTGAGTACCTTTTCCGAGCAATTAAATATTGATGTGATGCAAACTGAGTTCCCAGGAACTCCAGATACATGCAATTCTGTTTGATTGAAGCTTCTTTTGAGTAATGTATATAATCCATTAGTCTCAACGGCACTGGCCATCCACCAGGCAAACCTAAAGGAGACTCCACCAAAGAATCATATCCAGCTAAATCGGTTAGTGATAAATATGCAGTTTTTGCATAATAGATTATTTTCTCTCCTTCATCACCCAATGGGGAGAGATATATATGCTCCCAACTTGTTTGTAGACTCCAAGTAGGATGACAACCATTCATGAGAAGCTGCAGAAAAAGATGAACCCAATGTGAAAGTTCAAGATACGTAATGCGCACATTAAGCTCTGAACCTTCTTTTTTAGCATAAATGTGTGCTGTGGCCATTGAATCAACCAATTGACCAACTGAGATTCCTGATAATACGAGAAATCTCTTCACATCTTTAAATTCAGTATCCTCATAGTTATACCCACTTCTATTCTCCAATGCCCAATATGGCTGCATCATAAATATTTCAACCCCCCTATTACGCATTGCTCGAGAAACTTCACCATAGTGGGGATTAACTGTGAGAAACATGCGGAAATTAGGGTGTGGATGGATAGACAAAGGGTTTCCATCAACAATTCCACGTTCATTGACCATAATTGATCCACAAGGTTCAACCAGAGAGTTAATCCTATCAAGAACCTAGCAACAACAAGAAGCCAAAAAAATTTAAAAAAAAATTACACTAACTACTCAATCAACATCAACATCAACATCAACACCAACATCAACATCACATTTAACCCAAGCTAATTGGGGTCGGTAGTAGATGAACCCAATGATAAATAAGAGAAGATTAAAATATAAAATAAAATAAATAAATAAATACAAAAATAAAAATAAAAATAAAAAATTGGGGAAGGGGAAAATAAGATGAAAGACAAGAAGGGGAAAAGAAAGAAAGGGGGGTTTGAAGAGGAAAAGGACTAAAAAGGGATCATCTGGAACATTGAAATAACAACAACGGGTTTGATAATACTCAATAACTAACAAAAAAATATTTTGATCAATCAATCCAAGTGTTAAATTACAATTAATAACATGTAATTCTAGCATGCCAAATTTTAAAATAGAAAAACCATATGAACAAATGGCTTAAATTTTAGTTTATTTCAGGAAATAATTTTACACGTTAATATGAAGGCATCTAGACGGATTAGGAAACAATGTAGGATTAAAGCAAATTTTAACAAGCCAGATGTGCTTGAAACAAACTTTCAATACACACACACATCCAAAGGGAGAGACAAATTAGTCAGTTTTTAGAAACTGTTGAGCACAACTCCACACACAAGTAAAGACAATAAATATGATTCTGCATTTTGTTCAAGAAAGTAAGTTTTAGAACCATGAACTTGCACAATATTATTCAACATAGGTAATGACATACCGTGGGGTTACATAGATTTGCATTCTCAAGGACAATCCATTCCCCTTGCTCTATAGCCTTGATCAGCAGTCCATTAACCCATTCAAATTTTGTTAAAATCAACCTTTTCTGCACATCTGCCTTCAGCTTCGAAACTGTCTTCATGGACAAATCAAGTTGTTGGATTGAATAAGATGTGGGAACTGAATTCTTTTCAATATTCAACTTTAGATGTTCAATGATCTCAGGTAACAAACTAAGAGAACAATCAATTTTCTTCCTATACTCAAAATGATTTGAATCAGAAGCTGCCAAACTGTCAAAATTAACAGCAGACAGGAAACCAATCCATCTGTTGTATAAATCAGTTTCCTTAAATATTGCTTCCTTTGAAGCCTCCAGTTGCAAACTGCAGTACTCGTTAACATAGCGCTCAACTTGAGCAACAACCGAGCGAAAATTACGCAAGGCATCATATTGTTCAAAAGATCCAAGTAATTCAGATGTATCAGTTGCAGATGAAAGATTTATTTCATTTAGTACATTGCCTGTTAGGTTGGCAAGTAATCTTATCAATGAAGTTTTTCCAGAGCATGATGGGCCAGTCAAGATACATAACCATTGACGCTCAACACACTGAGCAGCAGCTTCCAAACTTTGACAAATTTCAGGCAGTATATAGAGCTGACTGCTTGTGGCCGATGATAATTGGACAGGATTCCTTTTAATAGTAACATTCCCCACAACTAAGTGATGTGCATTGAGGCTAACTCGAGGATATGGGTTTATAAATGGTTTCACCTCAAATACCTCAATGAAGACACGTAAGACTTCCTTGCGATCAGCTTCTGTACGCATTCTTTGAATGTAGACAATGTTCAAGAAGGAATACGCTCCCAAGTGCTTGGGTGCACCTAAATTAAATATAAGGAAATATCAGGATAAAAAAAATAGAACGTCTCTCCATAGGATATTAGGAATAAAAAGAGAAAAACAGGGAAAATAAAAGCATCAAATCATAAGAGAGGAGTAGAAATAATAGAACCTTCAATTATCTCACAAGATCGAAATACATCACGAAGATTGAACTCCCATGGAAAGCCATCCTTGGCAAACTTTTGATTCAAGATAATGTCTTCATGCATCCTTTTATTGAATAAGATTAACTTCGAGAGTAAAGGCCTAGAGATAGTAGAAAATTTTGATTCACAAATGGAAAGATAGTCTTCCACAACTAACTCATCCACATATACCTGCAGTCAACAACCAAAAACCACAGTTGATAAATCTTGCATATCGTGAACAAAAGATTGAAACAAAACATGTTCTTTAAAAAGGACAGAACTAGAATAACACTTTGCTTGAAAAGAAGGAAGTTAATAATAGTTCCTTTTAATTTTATTAAAAGGGACAGTAATCAAGGCAGAGGATTTTGGGCTTTGGATTCATCAACTCTGAATGCTTGAAAGTCCTCCTTTGAACATCTAAGCTCAAAAGTAAATACAAAATTAAGATACTACAAGCATACCTTGGTAAATCGATTTAGGAAAGATCTTGGAAGGCCTTTCCGGCCACCACCTTGATGTGATGGATTCTGACAAGCAAAAACTCGAAATGATGGTGGACATTTAAAGGTATTACCCAGCTCTGGTATAAACACCTCAGCTCGGTGGTCCAGAATAGCATTTAAACCCTGATACAAAAAAATTGTGTTACAATTCATATTATACACTGGAAAAGCCCTAAACCCTTTCTCCAACAAAGCAATAGTATAGGTGGAAACAACGCATTGCTCATTAAGAAAATGAAGGAAAGTAAAACAAAGAGCAACAAATAGAGATTAAAATTGATCAGAAAAATGCCTCTAGAACAGATTGTGGAGCAAGATTAAGCTCGTCCAGCAAAACCCAACAGCCTTCCTTCAGGGCCTGCAGAAACAAGATAGGCGAAAGTTAAATACATATCAAAAGCTGAAATGAACATGGTAAGTTTCATCGTATGACAATTCAACCTGCAACAGGATCCCATCAGACCAAGAAAACATCACCCCATCATCACTTTCCACTGGTAAATCAGATCCCAACAGATCCATCATATCAGTCTGCACCAAATATACATATAGAATTAGAAACGCACAAAGTAAGAACTTTGTCACCACATAAAGAGCTGAACAAATTATTACAGTAAAAACAATGAAAGTATTATAAGAGATAAGGATAAACTAAGACTAATTACTTACCTGCTCAGATAAGTTTATCCGTACAACTCTGTGCCCAGAACATTTTCCCAATGCAATGATTAGACTTGTTTTCCCAACACCTGGACTACCTTCCAGTAAAACTGCAAACCAACAATCAATTAAAACAGAGAAATAAAATAAATTAAGTGAGAAATTTCTCTCATAATTAAAGGAAAATCAAATGCAAATGAAGATACCAGGCTTTGAAAGCTGCAAAGCCCGCAAAACTCTCATGGCATTTCTGCGGGTAGTGGGCGCCTTGAATTCAAACCCCCCATCATCACAACTGCCAAAACCTATAGGCATAAACCAAAAGTCACACAGAATAAGCCACATAAGGCAATCTGCACAGTGGGTTTTAATAGGGGAAAAAATATTATTAGAGAAAAAAAGATTACAAAGCAGAAGGGAAATGAATCCTATTAAACAACCTAACCAAAAAAAAAAAAAAAAAACTGAAAAATATTCATTAGCTCATAATATTTGCATCCTCTAAAACTATGTTACAAACCAGTGGCTCCAAGATGATATATGAAACATATCTATAATATTGAGACACAACTAAACCTAAAAAGAAATTTACTGTTACAAAGCTTTCAACAATCAAACTAAATCAGATAGAATTAAATAAAACTGAAAAATATTCATTAGCTCATGATATTTTCATCCTCTAAAACTATATGAAAAAAACAAGTTGCTCCATGATGATATACAAAACATATCTATAATATTTAGACCAAACTAAACCTAGAAAGAAATTTAATGTGATAAAGCTCTCAGCAATGAAAACTAAATCAGATAAAATTAGAATGATATATCACAATACTACCTTTCTTGATATAGAATGGATCAATGCCAAATAAATCATCGCACTGCATATCATCAGTAAGTGACACATCCACAGTTGTGCCATATTCACCCCAACCGTAGTTTCTCATTCTTGAAAGCTTTGAATATAACAAATTACTTTCATCAACCTGTTGCAATATTCCACTCCGCATTTACAATTAATTTCTAGAGATAATATTGGGAATGGCACCAAAGAGAAACCATAAAAAACAGCATTGTCCCATAAGAGCTCAATAAGCACATATCACCAAAAGTACATATAGGAGAGTTGCTTCAAACTCATTACAATTATTTCACATAGGAGTGCAGCAGGACACTGCTGAGGATGAATAAACATAACAATCTAACCTAGACCAACAGACACCAAAACTGATGCACTTACAGTTGGCTCATTGTACATGGCCCAACCATTGATTCAAGAAGCTCGAAGTCGACTAGAGTTGTGGCCCAATAAGAATGACCCAATTGTTGAAAAAGGCAATGATTTGAAATATAACAAATTACAATCGAATCCAAGTCTCAATAAAGCACCAGATGTGATTGTGATTTGTTTCAGAAGAAAAGAAAAGCAACACATTTGGCGTGATTTGAAATCGAAGATTTGGGATGTATTTTGAATTATTTATTTGTAATTATTTATTTATTTTTAAAATTTAATTACCATTATATTTATTTTAGAAAGTTTTATTATTTTTAGGATTTTTTATTTTTGAATTTTGAATCAATTTGTAATTAGTATATAAAAGGGTGCTTACGACCCTTATTCTAGGAGTTGAATGGTGTTATTTTGTTAATAGAAATTAAGAACCGAAGGGTTACTCTTTTGTAAAATCCTAACTTAGCCACTATTCTATGCGTTTTCGGCATCATTTGGTATCAGAGCACTAGGTTGCCTTCAACCAATGGCTGAACAGAATCGTGGAGGTCGACGGCTGCGGAGTCACGAGGGTAGGGAACGTGGATTCGTTCCTGAAGAATATAGACAACTACGTCAGATTGACCCGCTAGATATAGAAAATGAAGAGCTCGGAAGGCGGATCCTTGATTTGAAGCAACAACTTGAGCAAGCGCTAGACAAGAAAATCCAAGTTTTGAAGAGACTATGTGGGTATGCATGAAAATTCAAATTTTGAAGCAAATTCTTGTCGAGGTGCAGAGCATGGAAATTCAATATTTGGAGCGGCGACTTGCGTGGACAAAGTTGGGCATTCAATCCGAAGAAGGAATGGAATTAGATGACGCATCTGATGACGAAGAAGAGGACGTCAATCCCTTGGGGATTCTAAACCAGGGACAGAATTGAGAAGTACAACCTGGAAATCAGTCCACTTTTCAAGATATCGAGATGCAAATCAGCATTCCTGACTTTGATGTCTATGATCACAATCCAGTTTATGATGATTATCCGATCTATGATGACAATCCAATTTATTATGATTATCCGATTGTTGATAATTATCTCATTTATGATGATTATCCATTTTATGATGAAGAATCAGTTTATGATGATAATCCAGTCTATAATAAATCTAATGGAGAATCAGATTATGAAAATCTAATAGAGGAAGATTTATCATTTGAGTTTTTGTCTAAAGAAATTGAGATCAGTGAAGATAAACAAGATTCGAGGACAAATCTTTTCCTATTAGGGGAGAATGATGCACTTACAGTTGGCTCATTGTACATGGCACAACCATTGATTTAAGAAGCTCGAAGTCAACTAGAGTTGTGGCCCAATAAGAATGACCCAATTGTTGAAAAAGGCAATGATTTGAAATATAACAAATTACAATCGAATCCAAGTCCCAATAAAGCACCATATGTGATTGTGATTTGTTTGGGATGAAAAGGAAAGCAACAAATTTGGCGTGATTTGAAATCGAAGATTTGAGATGTATTTTGAATTATTTATTTGTAATTATTTATTTATTTTTAAAAGTTAATTACTGTTATATTTATTTTTGGAAGTTTTATTATTTTTAGGAATTTTGAATTTTGAATCAATTTGTAATTAGTCTATAAAAGGGTGCTTATGACCCTTATTCTAGGAGTTGAGTTTTGTTATTTTGTTAATAGAAATTGAGAACCGGAGGGTTACTCTTTTATAAAAATCCTAACTTTCTGTTTAGCCACTTTTTCTATGCGCTTTCGGCATCAAAAACCATTAGGAAGTGAGCTTTAGATGATCTTACAACCTCCAAGGCTCCAACATAAGGCTCCAACATAACATCAATATTGATAACATTAATGCCTCTATCCAAACAAAAGACTTAACCTTAGGAGACTTCGATTTCCAAAGCAGATGTTCAAGGATAAAGTTCAGTGTGTTCAAGATTGGGTAAGAAACTTAAAAAGTGCGCTTACAGTAATCCACACACACAAAAATCAACAGTCCAACCCTCCTATCTAAATTGGAACCCACATGAAAGAATAGAGTAAAACAGAGGCACTGCAATTTAAAACTTAGGAAAGGAAAAGTTGATATAAGAAACATCAGGATTAGAAAATTATGGGAACAAGTGGATAGGACCAGCAAAATTTGAATCTTATAAAGTCATTTCATTCAACCAGTCAGTTGATGAATGGGAATGGGAGGAGAGATAGTGTATAGTTGATGAATATCAAAAGGAGAAACATACCCTCAACTTCTGTAGCAGAAAGGATAAACATCTCTCTCTCAGCTCTCCAGCATCCCTTTCTGTAATCCCGGTCCCTGATAAAAAGTTGAGCAACTGTCAGTAAATAGCCAGAAAGAGAGAGGGAAAGGAAAATAGAGCAAAATGAATTAATTTCAGTAGACTTCAAAGCAAATAATGAAATCTACTTTGTGGCTACACAACTTGTGGGGTGTTTATGTGGTTGGACACTGTTTCTGCTTCGGGTATCTCAGGAACCCATAAATTGAAGCTTTGTGAAATAGTACACAAATTTTATCCCCCACTCAACTCATAGTTATTCTTGTAAGTCACACATTCAACTTCTGATGTATTCTCTCTCCTGATTGGTGTATGTTGTGAAGATACAAGCTTGGAAACCACTATTCAATAGTTCATTCTTTTGTGGAAATACCTAAAGTTATTTGGAGTTTATGAAAAATAAATCCTACAGCATCTGGCATAACAGCTGTGGCCACATCAGCTCAACATCAACATCATCTATCGCCACAACAACACAGCACTAAACACAACTGCCATCTCTGCCACTACCCCTATAGCACACCACCACCGTATTAAATCTATACATTAAATTTTAAAACTTTGGTGACAATATTATAAAATTCTTTTAAAAGAAGTAGATCATGAAACCAAACAATAACAATAGAATTGAGCTCAAAAATATAGTTTAATTACTTGTACAACCCAAACACAAAAGATTTTGAATTTCTTCTAGTTTGAACAGAAACCAACTTTTTCAACATATGTAGTAAGCCATTCCAATAAAAACAACATTCGTATATCTGAATCATTATAGCATTTTAACAACCAAAGGAGATTTAAATTATATGGATAAGTGGAATCAGGAGATTAATATGATCAAAAATCAAGTAACCAAAATAAATTATTCAATATAGTAATTATACAGGAAATAAGAGGAAGTTGAAGAAAAAAAAATTCATAACAAACTAAATATACCTAGACTTAACCCATCAAGTAAAACAAGAAATACTCCATGAAGAAGGGCATATTCAGGTCCTAAGCTTTCTTCCGTCACACCAAAAAAAGAAACCCAAGAAATGAGATCCCTCATGGTAAGCATTCTCTCTGGATGTAATTTGTTGAACCACTGAAAAGCATAGGAATAATAAATACAAAATGAATAATATATGAACTATGAAGATTAAAGAATTAATCACCACAGAACAAGTAGCACATAACAGAACAATAGCATCATTCAAATGTAATTACTTGTTACAAAAATGTAAAGCAAGAACCCAATACCAAAATCCTTGATTTATACAAATATTAGGTTAAAAAGGAGAAGTAGATGGAAGGAGAACAAGAAATCCTCATAGAGCCACTAAAACAAACTCACCAAACCCATTTCAAATCCAAAAGATCAACTTCATTAAAATATCTTAAGCCGATACCCATAAACAAACCAAAACACAACTCTAACCTTACAAAATGCGAAAGAAGATAAAAAGAATATCTCGTATAGAAACTAGAATAAACTATATATGGACAACAAAAACCTAAAAAAATGATAAATTACAGGTTTTGCAAGAATATAAATCTGTATGAATTGAACAAAAAGCATAAACATAATTATACTTAAGCTATTACGTGACAGTCACATGCCTCGTCACCCATTAGGCGTGAAGGTCGAAAAAATGCACATGTCCACCTACCTGTGCTAAGAAACTCCACAATATTTAATTACTTATTAACAGAATGGAGCGTGATGAGGATCAAACTCTTAAACACTTGGTCACAGAGGCTCTGGTACCATGTAAAGAATCATTTACACTCAAAAGGTTAAGTTGTTGGATGAAGGCACATCAATGGTTTTATATTTTATATTATAATTCTCTAACAGGCACAAACCCCAGCTACGCACCAATGAAGAGAATGTTTGCTAAAGATAGGAGAGATACATGGACTAATGCCAAGCATGAAGTAAATAAAAAATGACGTACCACCCATATCAGGGCAGTGGTGAATATTTTAAAATCAAAAAATGTACAACTAATGATTTCAATAGTAAATCTCAACATACCTCCAAAAAACTTATCATAGCACGAACAATAACTGAGAGTCTTTCTTGAAAAGTTGGACCTAAGTTGCCTGCAACTTTAAACTTGGAAATTCTGCACATAAATCAAATAAACCGAAATTAAATTGTATGTTTGTCAAAACATGTGTACTCCAATTATGAAATTATAGGTACCTTTTCAAGGCAACAGCTTGAAGCTCATCTGGATCATTAACGGGGGGAACCCATATCTCGGTGAAGCGATTGCGTAGTGCTGGAGATAGCTCCTTCTTACCATAATCACCACCAGGATTCATTGTTGCAAGAACAAAGAAATTTGAATGCGCAGTAACTCTCTCCGGATCAGAGCCTCCTTTCTCAGCCAAAGTCTTCATCATCAAAGAAACAAACAGAAATTCAAAATAGTGATAGGAATTGCAAAAGAGATATTATTCATAAAAATATTTGTCACCAGCAATAAGCAAATGCAATAAATATAAGCAATTACTTGTGTTTATAGCTCATGTTAAAAATTGCTTTCTTTGTTCTCAACATAATGGAGTGTCCCTAGAAGATGTGCAAAAATAATTGAGCGCCCTCTCATTTTAACACACTTGCCTACCTTAACTTTGTTTCTAATTTGCGCCTAATTTAACGAGGATATCTTATCCTCGTCTTAGAGGGCCAGCCTGGAACAACGGTAAAGTTGCTCCTTGTGACCGGAAAGCCATAGGTTCCAGTCCAGGAAACAGCCTCTTTGTCAAAATGCAAGGGTTTTGGCAACGTACTATCAACCATTACCCATCCCCTCGCAAGTCGGGGAGCCTTGTATACCGGGGTTTTCCCTTTACCTTATCCTCATCTTCTTTTGAATACTCTCTTTCCTACCTCTTACTAATATTTCTTCTCACACCAGCTCAAAAGAGCATTCTGTCTCTCTCAAAAAGATGAAATGCCAGCACTCTGTTTCTCCCAATACCTCTTTTGGCTGGCAGGGTCAAGCAACCGCCACCGTCTTTAATTTCAGGTACACTTACTATACTATATTCACAGAGTATATTCACACAATCGTCATTAAACCGAAGGGAAGAAAAAGTGATGACACCATTATTTGATACATCTTGAGCTATAAAACTAGATCTAGACTGACTTAAGCAGCCAGCTAAAAGAAACATATCTATATAGATAATTGACTTACTAGCATCCTTTCTGGCTCCAACACACTGTTCAATCTCTCAAGGACACTATCATCAGCCAAGGATATCTCATCCACAAGAAAGAGATCGCCATCTCTCATTGCTTTCACAAGGGGACCATCCTGCCACGGAAACATATTCTGCCAATCCCGATGCAAGACATCAATGTCCAACTTTAATTGCTCCAAAGCATAAAGATCTTCTCTGCTGACACCAGGACTGCAAACTTGATCTCCTTTGTATTTCTTTATCATACCACTCAGCAGATCAAGAGTTGAAGAAGCTTGATCTATGTCAGACGAAACAAACTATAGCACATAATGTTAAATCAGCATTTGTTTTATGAATAACATGGAACAAATGTATATATACATATATATATAGTACTCACAGGGGATTCAGGAAAGTATGCAAAAGCCTTTAGTTTCTTCAACTGTTCAATGATCTCTTTATAGTTAGAAATCAGTTTAGACCTCTCTCGTCTAGGTCGGAACCCCTGGAAAACATTTTCTAGTTAACACTACAGCTAATTATAGTAATAGAGATAGGACTCTTAAGAGTCCTAATAGGAACAATTAAAACAAAAAGCATGAGAAAACCAACCCCAATAAAATCAGACGTTTCTGTATACTGATGACAATTCAAGATATGTAACTTCAACTGCAAACAAGCACTTAGTAACTGACAGACAGTAGTCTTCCCTCCACCTGTTTCCCCAACAAGCAGTACAGGCTCGCGTAATTTAAAGCACCGCTCCACAAGGAAGTATAACCTCTGCATACTCTTGGTCAAGAATACACTGCATATGACAAAACCATCAGCAAGAGATAGTGAACCGATTTTGGACCAGAAGGAAAAGGCAACAGTGAGCCCATACCTCTCAAGACTCTCTGAACCTCCTAACCCAACAATCAAATTGGAAGAAGCGTTCACTCCAAATAAAATCTGAAACACAGTTATTGTTGAAGATATATTTTAGTTCAACCACTTTAATATATAATATATGGGTATGTACAAACGTTATGAATTTATATCCAAACTATATGATCCTTTATCAACAAAACAAGTCTGTCTATGAGGAAAAAAAATGAAAACAGCATTTACAGAATAAGTCTGCAGTGCCCAGTCAAGGAAAGCATATGACCTTACATTCACCAGATATATATATATATATATCAATTAATTCAAGGGAAATACTAGTCTCATGTTGTAGGAGACTAGTATCTTATGTCAGACACAAAGCATGTGGGGCCCACTCATAAGCCCCATATTTTCTGTGTCTATGACATAAGATACTAGTCTCCCATAACATGAGACTAGTATTCCCCTTAAATCAATACTCCAAAAGCCATAAAGTATATGAAAAAGCAGTGGCAGCACAATAGTAAATAATAACTACTATTTCCTGGCACCCCACAGGCGTGCAGGAAACACTAAAAGAAAGAACCATACCGGGTCATATAAATTTTTTATGTTTAGTTTAACCTTAAGATGTTTTTCCAGAACTTCTTGAACAACAGACTTCTCATTCTCATCTCGCAGCCTTTCTGCCAAAAGATAATAGCCATCTTTGGCCAAATCTTCACGACTCTTGCCAAATCTCTTGAAACGGTCAGCCCAACGAAACAAGTCTCGAGGAGTTATAAATCCATGTTTACCAGCAAAAACATTGCTACTCTGTCTGAGCATCCGAAGCTTCTTCATGACTTCAACCATATTTTGCGCGTAACTCAATGGAATTTCACATCTCTCACCCAATATTATGCTCAGCTCATCATCTGGAATTTCACCAACATGAATCTCTACAAAACGATTGCGAAATGCCCGAGACAACATCTTGCGCCCACCATAGAGTGTAGGTGGATTTTGAGTTGCAAAAAGCATGAAATCTTTATGTGCTAGAATTGTTTCTTGCAGTTCAGGAATAAAAAGCTCTCTGTTATCATCAAGTAATCGGTTCAATGCCTCCAATACATCAGATGGAGCCAAGTTCAGCTCATCCAGTACAATCCAGTAACCATTTCTTACAGCTTTAACCAAAGCACCTTCTTTAAAAACAAGCTTTCCACTAGCATCAAGTATATAAGAACCTACATAGTCCTGCAAATCAGTGTGTTCATGATTGTTGATTCTTACGAATTCATGACCAGTTATTGCAGCAAGATACTTAACAAGGCTAGTTTTCCCACTAGATGTGGGACCCTGCAAGAGGACAGGATATCTGTGTATTAGAACAGCACGAGCCAAATTCCCAAGATGCTCCAGGACACTTTTAGTTTTGACATAGCTCCCTGAATATCCATCGGATTTGAAGGTACTTAAATACCTATCAAAATGTACCTGCGGAGGAATACTCCCTCCTAATAAAAGAGACAATATCTTTTGCCTCATTATTTTGGCACTGGGTCCATCCAACATACTGAGGAAAAACATACTAAAGCCATCATATAATGCCTTTTGAAATCCAAATTTTCTCTCTGCTTTCCTTATATAGTCTAGAGCACGATATAGAGACCTTAAACTGTACTGAGGTTTCTGATTAGCACCATCCTGCAACCTCTCTTCAGATTCCTTTTTTGATTCTTTATAGAAACACACAATTTTATTCACCAGCTGTTGATCCATATGGCCACTATTTACGAACTGACTAATAAACAGACTTAAATCATCATCATCCAAAACATCATCAACAAAATACTCAGTAAATCTACTCCTCAAAGAAAATGGCAAATCTCGCTTCCCGGCATCTGTTGCTGGATTCATGCAAGCAAATATACGGAAGTTTGGATGAGGGCATATATAATCAATATCGCCTCTTTCAGCTAAACAAAGCGTTCCATTTTCCCCTTCTAGAACACCGATAATTCTCTGCAAGATTTCTGGAGGAGCCAAATTCACCTCATCAAGTAAAATCCACTCACCATTTCTAAGAGCAGTTACAAAACTTCCTTCTACAAAGGAAAACATCATTCCCAAAGATTGATTACTTTGACAGACACGATCCAGTAACAACTCCCAATCTTTTAGTAATATCTCCCAATCTTTAATTTCCCTTTTACGCTTTTTGGAAGGTCCCGTTTTGGAAATTCGTTTTTTTATAAACTCAATTGACCTCTCAACATATGTTTGAATTCCTAGAAGTAGCCTTTTCCAATTCTTCTCGTCTGAAAGCATTTGTAGCTTTGCAAGAGCGTTTGCATTTCTCTGAACAGCAGCAAACCATTAGAGCCCTTAACAACAATGACATACAAAATACAAATTGGGCAAACCTCGGTGCATATTGCTACCCGACTTTGCAAGGGTAGGGATGAGGGTCGATGGTATGCAGCCTTACCCTTTACTTTTTTGCAAACAAACTGTTTCTCATCCTCAAACTTGTAACCTTTCAGTCACAAAGGAGTAACCCTACCATAGCATCAAGGCTTGCCCTCAAACAAAAAAATAAATAAATAAATACCTTATCCTTCTTTAATTTACTTCTGGAAAAAAGTTCCAAAAACTCCTTATAAAGAGCAGAAGTCACGAACCGTGCATCCATAGGCTTAAAACCCCCAAGTAAGTCAGCAACGTCACTTTGCTGACTCAAGTTCTGGAGAAAGAACCACCATCATGGGCCACTCAAACACACTTATATAAAATTCCAAATAACAAAGAAAATAATAGAGAATATGTAACACACCAAAACGGTAAGCTTCTGATCAAGCCTTGAAGCCAAATTTTGAACAAGTGTAGTCTTCCCAGTACCAGTTTCTCCCACCAAGAGTACAGGCTCATTATACATGACTGAAAGCGCTACGCGCTCTAGCACGTGCATAAAACTACGGATTTCTACAAAAGGTGTTGTACGTTCATGTTCCTGCATAAGAAAAATAAAAGCAATGTCAAAGAAACATGACATTTCTACTAAAACTGGATCATCTTTCAAATTGTAAACTGACGATACTGACAGATTTTTTAGGGAGGGAAGCCCGGCCTATTGTTAAATGTGTGACAGAATCCTGCATTTTACCAAGACAAGTGAGAAGTTGATGCGGCCAAATGATAAAGCAAAGGCCAATACTTCACAAGATAAAACCTGAATTATAGGTTTGTCACGGGGATACAAGGACTCAGCATCAGAATCTGGTACTTTCCACAACTTTGCTAACTCTTTCATTATTGACAACCGGTTTTCATATGAAGTTGAAAAGGCCGCAAATACATCAACAGCCTGAGATTGAAGACAATAGCCACACATGAAGTAACTCTACCAAAATTGATAAGAGAAAAGGGCAGAAAAATAAAAGAAACCAAAAATCAGACCTCTTTAAACACTCTACGACATTGGTAATCTGATAAGCTACCATCAAAGCAAAAACCTAAACCAGCAATCCTATTGCACCATTTAAGGAGATCCCTGCCATGGAGGAACAAAGTTACATCAATGAAAGAAAATGAACAAAACAAGCACCGGAAATATATAATCATTTTAAATACCTTAACGAAAATCTGCTGAGACAAGAAACAGAAGCAGAACTTCCGGGGTGAAAACCCGCAATTTGATGCATGGAAAAAACATTAGCCCTTTCAAAGGTTTCTGCCAAAAAAATGTATAGGTATTTTATAGTGAGATATTAAAGAATGAGTTTGTATTAGCAGCTTACAATAAAACAAAAAAGTTATAATAAACTACATATTAAAAGAATATCATATCAATACCTATGAGTTTGTCAACATGAAGCTCCAAATCGGGATGCCTCACTTTGAGTATCTCTTGCAAGTCTTTAGTATCTGGCGGCCTAATCATCACTCTTCTCCAAAGGGCGCTAAGTGAATCTTGACCTTCAAATACAATAAAAATCAGCATCAAGTTTTAATCATAAAAAGACAATACAACATCAACAACAACCAAGCTTTCCCAATAGGTGTGGTAAGTTAAATGGATAAAAAAGACACCATTAGTCTCTATCAAAACCTTATATAATGAAATTTTTCAATTATTTGAAAAAATAATTAGTAGAAAGTGCCTACATATATATATATATAGATAGATAGATAGATAGATAGATAGATAGATATGATTCAACACTATCATGCCAATGGTTTCATTTAGATTTGGATATAATCCCACCCATTCAGAAGTAGTCATGCTTTGAATTATTTGTTGCCATACAAAGTAGTCTCTCAAAAGGAAAGAAGCATAATAGCCATTTAGCTATCAAGCCATACGTTTTGAGATTCCAAATTTCCCAGAGCTAATCCTTCTTCAGCTCAATTGTGAACGATTGTATAGAAAAAAGAAAAGACCAGTACAACAAGGGCAATAAGGTATCCTCTAAAAATGGGGAAACAAAAGGGATTAAACCAAAAAAAACAACAGAGAAACTAAGAATAGAGCAGAGCTTCTCAATCTCCTTGTCAAAGAATAGACACCCTTGAAACAATCACGGACAAAAGACCCTCAAAAATGCATGCCGTGTGTTTGAACCAAGTGTATCAAAGGATTTATTTACAGTACACGGCAACAAAATTTTGTTATCTTTCTTACACCCAGTGCTGATTGGAAAGGATCTTTACTATATTACCCAACTAGCACGGGTACAACATCAAATTGAGATATACATTGTCAGCACTCCAAACTTCAAACGTATTTATGACAAGAAAGTAAACAACTAAACATTATGACATTCATATATCACTACCAAAAGAACTATCAAACATATTAATTAAAACCAAAACAAAATCATGAAGAAATGACAATTAAATAAAAAACGGAAAGGGTAAAGGAAAAAACCTGCACTCTCAAATGTGTCAAACTTAGAAAGGGAAATAGTTGAAAATACTCTAAAACTTTCTGCAACCCTTATTACCTGCAAAATATATAATGCTTCAACAATTAATGACAAGTACAGAGGAATGACAGGCAAATAGATATAAAATCAATTAACTATCACTCTGCTAAGGCAGGCAACACCTTCCCACAGAAGATGCATATCTTATGATCTATGGTTAACCAGGGGGCCATGGAAGATCCCAAAGGACTCTGCCCTTGTTACCTATCAACCAGGCCTCAATATTATTCTTTTTCTTTTTAACTTCCAAGTAAAAGAAGAAATACAACAGTTCATAAAAATTTGTGCTGTGTATGCAGCAGTTCGGTGCATTTAAACAAAACATCAAGGTATTTACAACAGAAGTTTCCTCCTCTGTCCTCTTTGGTGGGATTGGCTTACATTCTTGAACATAAGCAACGATGGACACTCAATCTCTACAACAATGAACACAGCACCAGTGAGAGGTCATGAACATCCTACCCCACAATAATTATGTAAGGGCAAGGAAACATAATTGAAAATTCAGGTATTCCACTTTAACCAAGTGCTTTTAGGTTTAGCCCATAGTAGTTAATTGCGCCGCAATAGCGCCACAAGCCGCGCCGTATGGGCGTTGCGGTGCCTTTCCGCAAGAAACCGCACCGCGCCGCACCGGAACTCAATAGCGGCCATTGCGACCGCATTTGCGGCCATATTGTTGTCACACGGCAAAATGTCAATTTGTCCTAAATTTAAATGTGTAACAGAAAAAATTCAAGGGTTTTTTAATCTATCCGCGTCTCTCTATGTCACTTCTGTCATCTCTGCCTTTAAAGAATATATTTTTTTGTCATTATTTCTGTCATATATCTATTCCGCTATTTTCACAACCACAACCCTCTGTAACGCTATAGCGTTTTTCGTGGTTGGCCGCGATATGCCGCAATCCGCATTTGATAACTATGGTTTAGCCTAGTTATATTGCCAAAGCCTTCTAATACGTATCATGAGAAACAGCTCCACAGTGAAAGGACACCCAATGTTCACTAGGAACTAGAAAAAAAATCATTCCAAATAAAAATTGCCACCACATAATGTTAAAATATATAGCAAAAGTTGCCAAACAATAGCTGCAGAAGAATGATTGACGTTAAGTATGAATATACACAATCTTTCATTTGTATAATTCCATTGACAACCAGCATCAATAATGTGATCTCAATCTGCTACATAAAAGGGTCAAACCTAAACTTCAAATTTTGAAGTCCTACATAAGTTTGATCAAGCCCTCAAACCCAATTAAGAAAACTTAGAAATGTTGTGTATCATGAGCCAAATACTTTCCTATGGAATAATCTGTTTGTGGTTGATTCATAGTGCACACAAGTTAAATCCTTTTACCTTGAAGCAGTTTATGTAATATGTTTAAAAGGCTTTGCAGGAATACATAGGCTATATTTTTAAATAGTCCACGGTTTATGTAATCTTTTAGTATTTGATTGTTGAGGCACATCCGTATTTCAAGTTGTGTCTTTACCCTTACATTTGTTATGGGATATAATATCATCATATAATTGTCGTTTTCGCTTCTCTTTGGAACTCTACCCATGTAGTTGTTTCAACGGAATCTCTTCTTCAATATGCAAAGAAATTGCTTATAATACAAATAGCAAATGAATCCAATTACTTTATTCATGAAAAGAAGCAAGCTGCAGAGAAATCACCTCCCCATGTCCTGTCACAAATGAACCAGCCCCTTCCAATAAAGGCATTAAAATGGAGTGTACATCAGACGGTGCTTTGTTGATATCCTCAAAAACAATCCAATAACCATTCTGCACAGCCTGCGATAAAGAAAGTACATAAACATAAAATAAAAGCTTTCTTGCATAGTTGTCTATACAGAAATCAAAAAATGTCCACGTGCTTGTTAATTAGATAGAAACAGTCAAAACAAACCTGGGTAAGTGACCCAGGCTGCCATCTAAACTCCCCAGGCCCATTTGTACAGACATAACCTCCAACTAAAGTTCTGCCATCAATTTGATCATCCATCTGGATGGATAGAACTGCAAAAAAGAATAAATGCATAAACAATTATTAACATAAAAAAAATTATAAAAGGATAAATTTATTCAGATGAAGATTACAAAAGAGGATATAAATCCTCCAAAACATAAAACAAACATGAAAAAAGAGAAAATCAGTATAACAAAGCTTCCTAATCCCTCTGTCCTCTACATATCCGTTAGAGAAACAACATATAAAAGCTCATAAGCTTGGCATCAAATAGACACCAACCGCCTAACATTATCCCACGTCAAGTGATGTGTAAAAAAACCCAAATAAAATAGTGTCCTGTTCATGTTAGAGGGGTTTGTGCCAGGTTCAAGACAATATATTTAAATTAAATAAACATATAATTACATATTAACCCTCACTTACCCACGTTGATTTATACATTTGTGACTATTTAAATAATTTTCATTCGAAAAGTAAAATAGTCAAAATAAGACCTGAAAGATATGACATACCAGCTCGACATGCTCAATCAATTTATAGACAAGGGAAAACAAAAAATAATAATAACATAAAAAGAATGAGGTAAATATTAAGACATACCTCGTTTTCCACTATCCTGAGCCAGCTTAGCTATGAGAGCAGATTTTCCAGAACCAGAGGCACCATATAAAAGAACAGGCCACTTCTGGCTCACTGCCAATAGAACTCTCTCATAACTTTTCTTTACTGCTGAGGTCAATATGAATGTATTACTTACAGATATATCATCCCTGAAATAACAGAAGATACCAAAAATTAAGTGCTAATCCAAATGAAACATGGAGTACATCAGTAGGGTTACAAAAGAGAAGCTACAAGAAATAAACCAAGGGAAAGCATAAAAAAGAGCATTTAAGAAAATTCAAACATTATAATTGTAAAGAACCATTTCAACCCAAAAGCTTAAACTATAGGGTGATGCTACATTAATGATTTTATATTTCTCTAACACGCCCCCTCAAAAGAGAACCCATTGGGCTTGAAGGATGGATGATGCATCACACTCAGCCTACCTGTGCTAAGAAAGTCCATAATATTTAATTAGTTTATTAATAGAATGGAAGGGGTGAGGATCGAACATGAGACCACTTGATCATGGAAGCTCTGATACCATATAAAGAACCATTTCAACCTAAAGCTTACGTTGTTGGGTGAGGTTATATTAATGGTTTTATATTTCTCTAAAAATAACCTTAAGCAGACAAATAGTATTCAAGTTACAATGCCAAATAAAATTAAAAATAGCAGAAAAAATATCAGTGTTTCAATTCAATTCAGACTACCTTGCGGCAAGCCGCCGACTCTTGAGAAGTGGCTGCAACTCAAAAAGCTTTGGTGAGCTAACAGGCTGAGAATCAGAGGCAAAGGATTTTAAACAGTTCTCTTGACTGAAATCCATGCTTCTATCTGGAGAACCAGACACATAGTCTCCTATTGGCTCAACATACCAACCAGCTTTCTCTAGTGATGTGTCCTGACAGAACTCTTCCCAACTGAATATGGCAAGTTAAAGATTGTAATTAAACAAGCATTAAATTTTAAGTACAACATACAGCCAAAAAGAAGTAAACAATACTGACTGCAATAGACACGCAAATGCTTCCTCATCTCTAATATTCAAGCTTTCAGTGGCTCTATAACTTAATTTGAGCACAACTCTTAATATCTGCACCCTACACCATATCAGGTCTGGTTTGCGTGGCTCTTTTACGAGGTCCAGAAAACAAGACCAGTCCCAAAGCTTTGAGAAAATTTCAGGTTCCACTAGAAGGAGGCGGTATGATATTTGGGCAACATGCAGTGCATGGGTCTCAACCTGTAAAAAGAAAAGGAATTCACTTGGTAATACCCAAAGCATATCACAAAATTATTTCCCCAAAAAATGAATACAAAATGTGTACTGACCATAACTTGTTTCACTGAATATCTTTCAAAGGGAGCAGGAGCAAAATTGAAATAGCTTAATACCGAACTGCACCAAATAACAAATAATAACATAAGTTATAACAAAAAGTTACTATAAAAAGGTCAACCAAAAATTCTCAACAAGCAACCAACTTCATTCATTATGAAAGTGGAATGCTACTTGTGTAAATAGGAAGATAGGTGATAACAAAATACCACAAAACTTATATGACCTATAATTATGCAAATATTAAAAATAGCCAGCAAATTATTATGTAAATTCCCAGATATAAAGGAAAATCATTTATCAAAGCTCAGTTGCTGATAATAAACAAAAATTTCTTATGCTGGAAATTTGCGATTGGAATACAGTTTTGTCCCCCTTCATTTTTCTTTTTTGCAAATACTTTTCTTCACAATGCTAAAATTTGGGGGATGCTAAAAGAAGAAAAATACAATTTTCTTCCCCTTTTTTTGGACAAATGAAAGAACTAATACAAACTAACATAAAGATTATCTTTACACACATACACTCTCATGAGTCATGTACACACACATTGGATGAATTATTGTTGTTGTTATCATCATTATTAAAGACAATGATGAAGTATTGCCAAAAAAAGGGTTATATCCTCCTGAGAAAAGATTCAGACAAGGGATATAGAAATGGAAAATAAAGCCATTAATACAATAAATCTCTCCAATTCCACACGCATAATTACTTATAATTTGTGTTTGAAATATAAATTTGCCACGTCAGAGCTACGATAAGAGTTCTACTATAGCATTTAGGAAATTACCTGCAGACTTCACTTGCCATTTAACAAGATTTTATACTAGGTCATTCATACAATTTAAGGGGGGGGAAAAAGTAATTATGAAAATCATATTTTGCATTCCTATATTTTAAAATAATAATAATTAATACTACTAACCATCTGTCTACTTAATTAACAGAAATATTACCCATCAAACACAAAACAGGAAAAAAAAAACAAAACAAAGAATTAATTCAAAATTAGGCAAATACTACTATATTTTACAGGGGAAGATGCCAACCTCAGCAGAAAAGGACCCATGTCAAGAGCCCGACAGAAGGCAAGACAAGCCAGCTCATGAAGAACTAGACCCATTCCCCTTTGACCATAAAACTCTACGACATTCGCAACTTCATCAGAAACTGTGAGGCAATCATCTTCCTTTGCAGTATCCTTAATATTAGACCTCAGACTCGGTACAATACAGAGCAAAGCAACAGCTTTATCTACTATATTTCGAGCAATTGGGCGGAAACATCCCATCAATGGAATTGTATAACAAGGGTGCAAAAACACCCCCACTAAAGTATTAACTACTTCCTCTTCTGTAACCATGTGCCCCTGCACACAATAATATATAAACAATAAATACAAAAATAAAAATCAAACTGAATAAACTAAAATTTGTGAATTGAACTGCAATTGAAGATTGAGGCTATACCTTCTGTGCCAGCGAATCAAACTGAGGAAAACATTGAAGCTTTGGGCAACGATCAAGAAATCTCCGAAGAGAAGAATGAAGGCTAAAACTCCCGTCAATCGCCATAACCAGAATTATATCTCTATGTGTAATCAAGCTGAACAGTTAAAACAGTATAATATATATAATAAAAACAAAAACAAAATGTAAAATAGGTTTAAGTCCGAAAAGCGAGTTTCTCCTTTGCCTTCAACCTGCACACGAAACAAAACAATTGAAAACTGAAGAGAACAAGGTTCGATTAGAGAAGTTTAGGATTGTGATATAATTGTAATTGAAATAACTATTATAATTGCGTTAGCGGAAGATGATGGAAGTGTTGAAAGCAGCGACTCCAAGCGAAGGGACTCTCTCTCTCTCTCTCTCTCTCTCTTGTTTTCCACAGCTACTCCAATTGAAGGTGAGGGTTTGCTGTGTGCAGGGTTTAGGGTTTAAGGCGCTTTATGTATGTTCTGTGCGAGTGCACTCGGCACCGTTCCACGTCAGCGGATTGTAAAATAAAGGACGTTTTAAAACTTTGTTTTTTTTTATGATATAAATTATCTTTAAATTTTTATATTTTGAATTTTATGATTATTAGATAACTTATCTTAATAAATCTTTTTCAAAAAAATAATTTTAAATAAAAAATGTTTTAAAACTACGTGAGCAACGCAATCTTCAACACAAACTTCCTGCTGAACTCACGGGCAAGGGCAAACGAAATAGCTTGAGATTCAAGAAATTCAAACAAGAAATTAAATTTAATAATTATTAAAGAATTAGTTTTACAATTACTTAATCATTAAATTATATTTTTTAATTGTATGTGTACAAATATTTTAAAATTATTGTAAAATTGCATTATAATAATAAGTTTAAAAAGTCCGAAAAAAAGTAGTTTGTAATTAAAAGTTGTCAAACAACTTAACATAAATTCCAAGTAATTTGGCGGTGAGATTTAAGATTTATATTGGATTGAGATTTTAATAAATTGTTTTTAGCCAAAAAAATATAAGATATTCAATTATGATTTTAAATGATCGTAAAAAAGTCACGTCGTATTCAATTAGAATTTTCAAATATTGTTTTAGAATTCGTCCAAATTCGATGGTATTCCATCAGAATTTTAAATAAAAGAAAAATAATCTTGTGCTATTTAAAAAAACTAAATTTTAATGAATTTTCTATTAGTGTGAATTTTGTAAGATTTTCTTTTTTGGTAAATAATTTTGTAAAACTTTTGAGTGAGAAGTTTAAAATCACATATTTCTATCACAATCTCACCCTAATCTCTGAGATTTCTCTATTGTGTCTCACAATCTACCCTAATCTGTTCTTTTTCTTTTTTTGATAAACACCCTAGCATTTTCTCAAACCATGCAAATGAAATGTTGATTGGAATAAAAAATTTGTGGATTTTTTTTTATAAAAGTCGATACTTTATACATTAATTGATGAATTTTTTTTTATTCAATTGGAACCTTAGTACTTTTGTTCTACACGTCAAGATCTTTCTATTCATATATGATATATATGCTTTTGTGGAATATTGAAAGAGATTTTATATTCTCAAATTTTAAATTTTAGGGTTTATTTATTTTTTTGTCTAAAATGTCATTTTAATTTTTGTGTTTCTTATCACCCTTTGAAATTTGAATGGTTGTTATACACTTTTGTCCCGACACACAAAAATCAAAACAACTTCTTTTCGGGCTGAAAAAGGAACCCTACATGGGAGAATGTGAACGCATAGCCTCAGCGCGATTTTATTTCGTTCTGCTAGGGTTTTTCGTATACGAATTATGATTGAACTATGGAGATCGAAGATGGTAACCAGCAATCTAGGGAGGATGATGAGGGTTCTAAGAACGGAAGAGGTAGAATCTTGGCTGAGGAGGAGAACTCTCCTCCGAGTGGGAAGAAACCGAAAGGTGAAGTAATAGAGGACTTGACTATAGATGAGGAGATGCAGGAGGAAGTAGCGGATGTTTCGGGTTGTCTTGACCCTGCCCACTTGACTCCAAATGAGAAGGTGATGGAGGGTAGCGAAGGTGTCCGGGCGAGAGTAGTATCCTATAAGGATAAGCTACTGTGGTTAAACGAAAATGGCGGTCTATCTGACAGCGAAGATGAAAATTGGATCTCGAAACAGAAACGAGAGGAGGAGGAAGCAGATCTAATGGAAGGCCTAGGTCAGATTGCTGAAGATGATCCTCTTTGCCCGAGGTATACATTCTCTGTCGAGGAACACAAACAAGATTGTGAGAAAGGGTGAAAGGCTCTGATCATCAAGATGTTGGGTAAACGTCTCAGTGGGAAGTTCCTGATGGCCAGACTTCAGAGGATCTGGAACCTGGTGAGTTCATAGGAAGCTATTGATCTGGATAATGGATTTCTGTGTTTGCGCTTCCAGGATGACGGTGGTTACCGTTATGTCCTAAAGGAAGGGCCTTGGATTGTAAATGACCACTATGTGGTAGTCCAACGATGGAGGCCCTTCTTCGATCCCTATGACGACAGTGTCAAGAAATTGGCAGTTTGGGTGAGAATCTCAGGCCTTCCAATTGAACTCTACACAATTCGTCACCTGTGGCGCATTGGTAATATCTTTGGTCGCACTTTGAAAGTGGACAGGAACTCCCTGAAGAAGAGTGAGTTTGGCGAGGATGTTATTACTGAACGAGCTAGATTTGCTAGAATCTGTGTCGAGGTTGACTTGAGGAAGAGTTTCCTGCCTAAATTTTGGATAGGAAACATGGTGTTTCAGGTGTGGTACGAAGGTCTTCACCTAATGTGTTTTAAATGTGGAGCGTACGGACACAGGAAGGACCAATGTCCTACTGAGCAGGGTTCTTATTCTCAGCGTGTGGTGGAAACCCCAGCTCAGGGAAAGGAAGTACTTGGTGGTATGGAGTCAGAACCAAAGGTGGTCAAAGAGGAGGAAGCCTTTGGGAGTTGGATGGTTATCCAAAGGCAACCTAAGAGTAGAAAACTAAAGGCTAAACCTCTCAGACCTGAAAAGGGGGTCATGGTGGAGCAGAAGCAGAAACATGTTCTAGCAACTACTATTCCTGATTGGATGGAGACCAAGTTTAGACTGGATGGAAAGAAGAGTGGGATGGAGGTCTCGAACAGCAGCCTGCAAGATCATAAGGAGGTTGGCAGTGTTGGTATTACTGTGGTAGATGGGAACTCTCCAGGTTCTGTTGCCAAAGATGTTGTGGTTGTTGCTCCAAGTCCTCAAAAGAAAGGTAGAGTTCCTGAAAATGGAGCTAAGAAAACCATATCAAATGAGGGGAAAGATAGACCCAAGTCTGGTAGTAAACAACTTATGAAGAAGAATGGGATTGAGAATGTCCCTCTTAATTCTGTAACAGAAGGGCCAAATAAAGGGCAAACTAGAAACAAATCTAAAAGCTTCACTAGCTTTGAAGGATCTCCGGCTGGTGGGAGTCTGGTGAATAACAGTGCCAAAAAGGATTTTTATGGAGAACTCTATACAACAATAGATTCTAGTTCACCTGCTGTAGGGATTAAGTCTGGAGACAGTTCTATCAATTTGGTGGGTGGGTCATCTTCCTACCAGGTTTGTAGGTAACCTTTTGGGGTCTTTCCTTTGTACAGCTTTATTTCCATTCATGTCTATTTTATCTTGGAACTGTAGAGGGGTGGGTAAGAGTAGCTTCCATACCCTTATTAGAGATTTAAAATTTAGATTTAAAGTTAGCATTTTGGCTTTGTTGGAGGTTAAGGTTGGTGGTTCTAGAGGGGATGAGATTATTAGAAAACTGGGTTTTTACAAATTTTTTAGACAGGATCCAGTTGGATTCTCGGGTGGGATTTGGTTACTTTGGGAGGATAGAATGGTGGATGTGAAGGTTTTAAATAACCATCACCAATTTATTCATACCAGGGTGTCTTATCTAGAGTCCATGGAATCTGAGTTCATTACTTTTGTTTATGGAAGTCCTAGGAGGTTGGAGAGAAGATCTTTGTGGATTGAGTTGGAAGCTATTAGCTCTGATAATTCTGCTCCCTGGTTGGTCTTGGGGGATTTTAATGCAATCCTTCAAGCTTCTGAAAAGATAGGGGGTAAGGATCTGTGTTATAAGAGTATGGATGAGTCCAATCAATGCTTAATTAGTTGCAATATCAGTGATATGGGGTATAAAGGCCCTGATTATACTTGGAAACGTGGAATACTCCATGAGAGACTTGACAGAGCTTGTTCTAATGAAGCTGGGAGCATAGCCTGGGCTAATAGGTATGTGTCCCACCTTCCCTTTTACAACTCTGATCATAGGCCTATCCTATTGTATGATGGGGGCATTTTGTTCCTATGGAGCATACTAGGAGCTTCAAATTCATGGCAGCTTGGTTAACAGACAAGAGGTTCAATGAGTTGGTCAGAAGGAGTTGGGAATGTAATGGGAGCTGGTTGGATGCTAGGAAACAATTTGAGTCTGATGCTAAAATTTGGCACCAGGAAGTGTTCAAGGAGAAAAACAAGCAGAAAAATAGACTGTATTCTCGGTTGAATGGTCTTGATTCCTATAGATATGGTAGATATGATCATAATACTGAATTGCTTCAGAAGGAGCTGTGGAGGGAGCTTCAGTCTATACTTATTCAAGAAGAATTGATGTGGTTTCAAAGATATCGTAACCAGTGGCTGAAATATGGAGATAAAAACTCCAAATTCTTTCATGCCTCAACTGTAGCTAGGAGAAGACATAACAGGACTGTGTCACTGAAGGATGAGCAGGGTAATTGGATTGCTGATACTTATCAGTTGGTTATTATGGCTACTAACTTTTATCAAGAGCTGTTCAAAGCTGATGGGGAGAGGGAGGGAAATTTTCCTATTCAGAATGAATTCCCTGTTTTAACAAGCTCTGAGAAGAGAAATTTGGCTAGTATTCCTTCTAAGGAGGAAATAAGAAGGACTGTTTTTATGATGGGGAAGTTTAAAGCCCCTGTCCCGGATGGCTTGAGTGCCATATTCTTCCAGAGCCAATGGGAGACTATTGGGAATCTGTCTGCAAACTGGTTAAGGATATTTTTTCAAATCCTGAGAAGGTGAG